CCCTCCATTCGTTTTCTATGTTCATAATTGTAGGGACCTTCCATGTTCACACGTCCAGACATCTACGAAACGACTGAGCCTTGGGATATAAGCGGTCCATCTTCGTTGCGATTTTTCTCCTCGCTATTTTTTCCTGCGATATCCGACACTATCCCCCGAACTGATTAATCTACCTTTGCTCGCTACGCATGGCATGTTGCAAAGCGCCTTGTCAGGTTTGAACTGCCCCAAGCTGGTACACCAATTATGAAAATGCCCTTTAAAGGAGCGGGAGTATTCACAGTGCACACAAATTCACAACATCCTTTGAGGGTCAAACTTTTAGTCCATCACCTCTTGTAATAGAGAACCGTCTCCAAATAGCCCTATTCACAAGTCAGCCATAGTGTACTGAAAGCGAGGTTCATTTGTCATTTTGGGTAACCGATAGTAAAAAACAAATTCGATGAAATAAATAACTCAAATTGCAAACTACAATGGGCTTACACAGATGAACAATTTAAGATTTGTGAATTATCGTGTTGAATTATCAAACGTAATGCCACAATCGAAAAGAAGTGAGACTTGAAACCCAAAATAACCTGGCACCATCCCCATTACACGGGTTACATTAAATAAATTAAATTCAGGGAGTAACATCGAAAATGGTTTCTCAGTGGATAACGTCTATTACATAACTGTCAACGGATTCCCCTTCGCATAGCGTCCTTTTTTTTAAATATTTTTTTAAAGTTCTCTGAAGCTTCTTTATCTTCTTTGAATTTTTTTTTCAATTCATTGGGAAGCATCACTACAATGTGCTTCCGTCTCTCCTTTTTTTTAAGCGTTCACAGTAAAACGCTCCACTTGTTATCCTCTACCCTAACACACAGACATAATTTTGCAATGAAAAGCATAAGATATTGGATATCTCGGTAAAAACCCCAAAAAATCTCCAAAGATGCTAACATCATTTCAACTAACCAACATTTTTATTTCCAACGCAACAATACGACAGATCATTGCACTAACGATTCATGACAGTTTGAACCCTCCCGCTATCGAAATTTCCCCTTTAAAACCAAGCTGAGGGCAGTGCATGCGTAATGCTATTTTCAACTAGCGAGCATCATTTTAAATTGTGAACCTTGCGAAAAAACCTTGAGTGAAATTTTCGCGCCGATAGTCCTTTGGATGGCCCAGAGAAACAACTTGACCTTTTTAGGTGTGTTCTGTGTTTTTCGGGAAGTGGTTGCTTTGGGTCTGGAATCGACTTCCCTACGATGTGAATGAAAAATGAGGACTGTCTTGTCTTCTTTCGATTGTGTGTACATGTGGCCTATTTAAATGCAACTTTCAATGTGCGGTGAAAAATGGCACCCCTATGACAACAGATGTCAAGGAGACGAAAGAAAAGCACGTTGAATTTCATCATCTCGTCTGGAACTAAACTTGGCTGCCAAGAGTGGGCTGGCACAGGGTGAAGGAGGTTAATCAGAAAAAGGTCGCAAGGCCTTTGGGTTATCACACAACAGCTGCTTAAATAGCCGTAATGTATTACCTTGGTAACGTAAATGATTGACCAAAAGAGCGGCTAAGAATGTTGCGAACTGTGATGACAACTCACGTCGTAGTATAGACAACACCTCTCGTTCTAGTTGGAACATAATGTGTTGTAAAAAACAAAACGGCGGTTTGTTCCTCAAAAAAAAAAAACCAAATAAAAGATCCGTCATTGTCAAAATTGTCAAACAGTTATTGGTGGTGGTAGTGCAGATTTAAGCGAAAGGGCTCACAATAGGCTTGTTGTTACCAGGTATTGTGAGGACTGCGACTATACCTTATAAAGTAAAGAATGTTTAGTGAGAAGAACTTTATTAGATTTATACACACCAACGTAAAAAATGGAGTTCCATAATATAGTAAATAGAAAATATGATTCTGTGGTATTTCTAGTGCAAAGATATACCTACTGTTGGTCCTAAAACAATCCGTAATTGTTCAGATACCCAAGGAAATTAGAGACTTACCTCATAGAAATTAATTTTTTGCAACAACTTAGCCAACCCAAACCAAATAAGGAATAAAGAATCAATACGCTGTATACATCATTGTTGAAATAGCTTTCACTTTCAGCGAGGCAGGCTGCTCAAACGACATTTTTCTTCACCAGTTCCAATTCCGTAAGGTTGTTCAGCTGTCACGGTAGGATTGATATAAGGAACCGTTGTAATTAAAAGGACGATAGACAGTCTTCACGATTTTCATCAGTAAGCGAAAGTGCAGCGGACTGCAGCTGACAGGGACAGACTTAAGCAATACGTGCCTCAGAGAACCGACGGAGTAATTACAATCTCACTTCCCCATAATAATTATTCCTAGCTGACTTGCTCATGGAAGTCTTGAGTTTTGGTGCAATGATTTTTGGTACTTTGGAAATTTGCTCAGTGCTGCTTGCATTACTTTATACTTGAAAACCTAGGAAGCCAGTTTATAAATCGATCTCAAGCAGTTATGTTGCCACTTTGTACATGACTCAGCTTTGGGCATTCAATGGCAGAAAATCACAATAACCCGCTTTGGCTTGACGACGAATCTGACCAATGATGTCAATGCAAATAAACTGATTTTGAATGGGCATGGAAGTTGTGTCCCATTAGCTGTGCACATACGCCCATGTTATGTGTTCTTAGCTCTGTGATCTATCATTGTTGAGCCATTAAACAAGCAGTTCGCTGCTCGTTTGCCCTTCACTGGTCTAGAGTCCTCTTAGCCTTCGTGTTATGGTTTGTGATTCGTGAGAGAAACGGCTTTTTGATCGTGACTTGTTGAAGGTAATCCTTGCAGGATACAGGACTCTCATTTTTACTATTACTGAACGGTCATCATACACGAAAGACAACCAGTGTAAAATCTAGGAGCAGGGATGAAGAAAATAAATTTCTCGCCCGAAAAGGCAGACATAGGGGTCATTCCCTCTTTCTCCAAATGGTCATTTTTTTCGATCGATTTCCCCATTTTACCTACAAGTAATCAATATCAAGACTTCTATAGAAGTGTAATCTTTTATTTTCCCTTCTAATTAATTTTTTTTTTCAAACTGGAAGTTGTGGGAGAAAATAAAATTCCCTGAGAATTCCAACTACAGTCCCACTCTTTCAATTCCGATAACGCAGCTCAAAATAGCAATCACTAAGCCTTGGTCCAGCTTGGCTATTCAGCACTCTGCATTTGTGTCAAGCTCACAGACACGGGAGAATAATCCAGGGATGTGGACTAAGTTTAATAGGTAACGCGTGCACACGCACGTGCTTCTCATTAATAGAGAAATTCATTCATATTGCACGTGTCGTGCATGCGCTGGGATGTGCTAATGCGCTTCCATGGAGCTATACATAGCTTTATGTGCCCCTCACAAGCAGCCTCGACTCCGTGGGCTGCGTGCGCGTTCCTTCACTATAGCCCCTGGTCGTTAGAATACGGCACTGACGCCAACTGGCTATTCTGGCTATTCGGGATGAATAATAAAGTAAAATAAATCGCACCCACTCTTAAATTAATCTGCGTCGCACGAAAACGCATTGACTATAGTCCTGATTTAAATAGGAGTGGGATATTAAATGATACAATACCAGGGTTCAGACCATGCCACGTACGTGTCGCAGCAACATCTTACCCATGAGAACAAGGTTGCTTCACAACATCTTCGATCGACACGCGGCGCCCCAGAGGACGCCGGGAAGGGCTGATGGCTTTGCACTGTGTTTGGCTACATTGTGCACGACCTGTGACCGCGAGGTTATCACTTCTTGTTGGCAAAGCATTATTTATTTTATTTATTTTTTCATTTTTTGCTTTGTTGCGCCAATGGTAATTCTTTGGCGGCCTTAGTACAATCACAGTGTGGTAATTCATCTTCTCACTAAGTATCACTGATCACGTGTCTTTTGGTGATATGTATTGAAAATCATCGGTTATCTTGGTCAATTTTGGATGAACGAATAAAGTGTAGTGAGAATATTTTCAGCAATGAGGAGAACAAAGAAAAACATCGAATTGATAACCGCCGCTTATGTAATGCATTGAGTGAGCTCGCGCGCATGGCAAAAATTTACCCACAATGCTCTACGCATCGTTATCTGTGACCCCGTATGACGTGTGTCCTTCGCTAAAATCTGTGCAAGGCCGTCAGGCGCTGGGTGATCTCGAAAGGCACCGCAAATTCTTGTGGTTGTAACTTGCTGCCATCATCAAATCAATGCATGGCGTTTTGCGTGCACGTGTCATGGCGCAGGCCAGTGGCGTAAGGGGGGGGGATGGGGCTACTTGCCCCCCTGACGGATTTTTCTTTTTCAAAGAATACTTCATAAGTGAGTAAGAAAGAAAGTAATTGATGTATATATTTATCAAATATTAACAAGAATGTAATTCTCCACCAACATCATGTTAAATGAGCCTGAAGCCGCATTCGCTTTAGAATCCCCCCCACACATGTACACCAAAGCTGGATACGCCACTGGCGCAGGCGGTGGTGTTGCACTGTTGATCCATGCTGAATCCAAATGAACTATATCCAATGAGGATTTACAAAAATTACGTCATGTGGCCTGAATAAATTAGCCCATCCTTAGAACATCATCAAGGTTCTTGGGGACGAGCGTTACGTAGAGAGCGTTTCGTTGCGGCGCGGTAGACACCGTCTAGGGAAGTTACCGCTAGTTTGGTTAAGTATTATTCCACCTTTTTTAAACAGAATTGCACTGGCAAGCATTAAGTGCAAGCAGAAGATATTAACGGGGTCGAAAATGAACAACTGCATAAGATCGATGCTTTCGTGGATGACGTCAAAGGTTACACTCACCCATACACTGTCCTGACCATAGTGCGTGTGGCAAAAAGGTCTGTGAGAAATGCCGCATGAGCGCCCTCCTTTGTGGTTAGGGATTGTCAACGGCGGCGCGGATGCAATACGTACGAATCGTAACAGCAAGCCGCATGCATGCAGCCTCGGCCGCGCATATTATGTACCACTCGATGAAATCAACTTATTCCACTGGGTACTTTCTGCAGCACAGGTCAACGGGAGTGTGTCTCCTGCAGACACACAACTTGAAGCATTTTATTCGTTGACGGGACGTGAAAGACAAGCGCTGATGATCTGATGGGGGAAGGATGCAGCGTGGTGTATTCCGGACAGTCTCATCTCAAGCGCGGATGATGAGCGGGGAGTTCACCGTCAGACATCGCCCGACAATAGTCCTTATTGCGCCAAAATCCTCGTGTTCGCCGTGAAGGGCTGATCAGGCTTGGAGGTGGGGACGACACTAAGCGTGTTGACTGCTAAGTGTGTGCTTTCGGAGTTATGATACTGGCGCAACCGAAAACCATGTTAGGATGAACGGGACCTCGGCACCTCGTGAAGATGGCATGAAGGGAACCCTATCCCCACCCTTGGGATACTTCATATTCCAAGCACTTTTCCTCTCCATAATCATGATCGTCACCATCCTCGGGAATGTGGCAGTAAGTCAGTCCTCTCAGGTCTAACCTTTCTTCTCTTATTTTGTTTCAATTACAAACTATTTTTGATCGTATACTGTAAATCCTAATGACGTTTTTATCAATTCATGTAATAATTCATAAATAAGTCTGGCGCAGTAGACCTGTATCAACAATTAATGAATGTTGGAACTTTGAAACTTGAGTACTAACTGACAATGTCCAGCCATCATAAGTCGGCATAAGCAATCTGGAGTTTTAACCAGCTATTCCCATTTCAATCTAGAGCAGTGTATCCATCCAAATTTTTGGTCTAGGTTGGGGTGTAGTTATCATTTCCTCATGATAGTTTTCTATTCTGCGTCCGTTAAAGAGTCTCAAACCGCGAAGAAAGGTAGTTGCGTTTCACAAGCGCTTTGCATGGATCTACAACATAACAGCTTCACGATCTCCGCTATGGGGGCTTGATGGATAGCATCCCACCTCATCACCGCTGCAGGAAAGTGGACATGTGAACAAAGAGTGGTGTCACTATGACTTAAATCTATAAAACAAGAAGAAACATGGGCAAGTGTCTGCCTGGCTTCCACCCACCCTCCAAGGGCCCCGCTGGATGTGCCACTGGTGGCAACAGTCGGCAGTATCAGGCCCTCGCGGTCCTTTTGCACGCTGCAGGACTGGCGGCCGGAGCGTGATTGATGGGACAATTCAATTATGTTGCTCCTTTGGATTGTATCCGTACTGCATAAGTATGCATTCCCGAAATCGGCAAGACGCTTCGAGCTATCTCACGATTGAAACATATTACTCAAAACTGGTAGCAGTGGAACCCCTGAATCCAACATATCAAGATTTGTCTGTAAAACAGAAAAATTGCCTGGACTAAACTTTATACGAGCGATTCACAACAGAAGACACAACAGAAGAGTTTGCAACGCATTTGCCAATCACAAAATATGTCGACCCTTTCCAGACGCGCATTGGGTCGACAGATTTCGCGCACTGTGATCGGCCGCTGCATGCAAACTCTTGGAGGCGCGCTGTTGTATCGGATTGCCTCTTGAAGAAAACATACCACCTGGTTAAGATGCAAACGTCTTCCGCTATTGTGAGTTCCGTTGCACGTAGTATAGTTTTAATTCAACATGTAACAGATCAGCCCCTTTTCATGTCCTACCTTTGTTGCATACTGCGAAATTGTTCCTTAATCCTGGTTAAGTTGAAGCGTATAACCAAGAGCCGCACTCTGTTCCAGAACTTCCAAAGTTTGCCAAGACAACTGGCCACACACTGTTTTTCTCATTCGCGATAAGTACCTCACACAACGTGTCCCTCGGGGTCTTCTAGTTAAGATAGGAACTAATATCGGGTGAACGAAAATCGTTAATAGATCAAGAGTTTCGTAATCAGAAGAAAAATAACTGCACCATTGAGAAATAAAACCGAACAAAAAGCCTCTAAATTATATTACAATAAGATTATGTCAGACTCTTCTGGGAAGTCCGCAACAAGACTTACGGCGGTTATTTTGCTTAATCATACAGGCGTAAAGTCATCAATAAAGTGAAATGAAAATGTACCGACCGGCCTCCAACTGAGAGCAGGGTTCTAAAGCATTCACAAGTGAAGGAAAACAATCGCTCTGCCGTACTAATTGGAAAAATCATCAAAACAATGATCACGGATAAATTAGTTCCCTCCGCGCACAGATAGCATATGCGCTCGGTTTAATGCACAAGTATTTCTGTCTGCCCGCCGACGCGACGTCTAGATCAGCGAGTGTTTTCCTTTATATGGGAAGTCAATTCGCGCAGGCCCTTGATTTTAGGCTTCCATTTTTCGTCGCTGCGCAGTCTGTTTGGTACCGTGAATATTACCTGCACAGGATGGAACAAAAGTTGAAGAGTTAGTGCGAGCAGAAGTACCCAGAACATTTTGTTTTTATGGCAAGCAATGTTTGATTCCATAATATGAATTCTACTCCTAGAACAAAATAATGAATAGCTCTGATGTAATTCATGCCCGCGTCCCTCTCGTAATACAATGACGTCGTCGAATTTTCGAACTTTTGAATCTGCGGAAAATGCTGGATTTTTTTTTCATCCTGTTAACGTGCGTTCCCGCTAATGGCGATCTCGTATCATTTTACTAAGAGAAAGCAACGTGTCACTTAATAAAGTAGACACACAAACAATTTATATTTCCAAATTGCCCGCGGATATGTTCACAAGTGTTTCAGGCAATACCCCAAGGATGAGGTAAAATTCAATATAATTGGATTTTACCCTCATGGGCTTGTAACAGGTGATGTAAGGACGCATGCAAGACACACCCGGGGCTTAAACCAGCTTGTTCAACTTCGCAACAAATTTTAGAGTGTAAAAAGTCGTAAATAACAAGTCTGTATTTCGCACAGAATCGGTTTAAAAGAATAGTCACCGTCCCAGGCTTACCACTGGAGCTCTATGAGGAAACTAAACTCTTTCTCCACCGTGTAGAGGTGGTCTGTTTCTTAAGTGAATGATAACTATTAGGGACATTGACATTTTCACTTTGCTTGTTAATTCGACAGTCCACACAGCTTAGTAGAATGATGTTTTTTCAAATCTACGTCTCGATTTGATTACGTTTTCTGTTCATGTCAGCCCCCAAATGCACCGACTTATTTCTTCCAGTTTAATTGCTTAATGTTTACGAAATTGGCATGCATTATATTTCGTCTTTCTTTGGCTGAGTGTCGGCTCATTAAACAAATCAACGTTAATGAGTGACTTTGGTGAAGATTTTCCCAGACATCGACATGACTTTCATTTCTGATTTACTTAATAATATCGTGTCTTTGGGCCTAAATGCATGTCACGGTCTGCACACGCGCAACGCATTCTTACATATTTGCCGAAATCATTTCATATCACACCGTTAACCCTGTTCTAACCGCAAACATTTCGCACTTTAACCAAACATCCGCTCGGACTTGCCGGCTGTTCCGGTTGCCTAGGCAACTGGCTCTCCGCGCATCCTTCATGCACTTAATAATAGTGCTTATCCCGCACACCCCGGGGCGCGTGCGTGGCTATGGGAGAAACAGTGTAAACATTTGGTGTTGACAGAATATCTCTTGGGGTGCCCTATGTGTTACTGACACATGCCATCGGTCCACTCTGATTCGTTCAAATCCTGTTTGTGGTATCGGCTAGACATGTTCAAATGACACTAATTACACGTGGCGCGGTACATCACAAAATATGTGCATTTTTTCCTTTACTCTTACCGAGATGTTTCTTCTAATGCCATATTGTCGTCTCAGACTTCCCGATACGTAAAGTGGAAACATAAGAATATTTTGTTATTATTCTGTGGGAAGGCAGGTTCTTTTTGCAGGTATACTCGTAATACATTTTGTAGCTTCGCACAAAAGGATTCCAAATGAGCAGACGTTTGAGAAAGACAAACGCAAGGTCTGGTTGATTCAGCACCCCTATAGTGTATACATGCACTGGGTGTTAAATAATATCACACATGTAAATCGAATTGTGCATAGTATAAGATTTAGCCCAAGTGCCACCTTGCACCACCCAAGAGGCAATCACCGTGCATAATTTATGTTCTAAGTAAAAACCCGATATAAATGGGACAATGCAGGCTTGGCGAAATGTATGAAAGCGAGAATTTGAGAGCCAGATTCGACACCCAATCATTGTTTTGTGTCTGATTAAAAACGGTTTGGAAGGGGCAATAAGATATCCATAAAGGTGACACCTTAGTCAGAAAGATTATGTGCTTGACTGGTCTTAAACGTGCGAAACCGGCTCAGGAGAATGTACGCGACTAATGCCAGAGCCGTAGGCGAGGGCATTATTAATGTTCGTTCTCTTGAGCAAGGTCTTAAACTTTAAGACCAGCCAAGTACACATTTATTCCCGTTCATAAATACCTTTTTATTCAGAGAGTCAAAATAAGTCAACATAATTATGTTGGATTTCCAGCTATATTGTTCTTAACTTTTACTTCCATTTTTTTCAAATACCCTCCGTCCATTTTATATATTTGGTATATTTCTTTGAATCTTAGTAGAATCTCCTTGTATATGGATGTGGCCCGCGCATGGCGCGTTCTGCGTGTAGCGTCGCACGCAGACTCATGACTAATCCGGTCCATAAGTGTCACTTCAGTTTAAATCACGCCCACTGCACACGTGCACTGCATTGATCGCCTTTTATATGCGGAATCATGGAACCGGAAGTTAACGCGCAACTTCAGCGATCGTCCAATGGGAGCCTGAAAATCGTGGCGCGTCCGCTTTTGTGACTCACGAACCAGATCAGGGTTGAGTACTATATCACCATTTGATAGACTCTTGGAAATTTATTTACACACGAGGTCCTCAAGGGTAATGGCAGTACAAATTCCTCACATGGGTCACCACCGATATGCGTCGTCTGCTAGAATAATTTTTCAGGCCGATGACCATTATAACCACTATTGCGCATGCGCGGATACACAAACAAAACGCATGCAGAGTCTATGCGGACCGAACATACGTGCAACGGGCATTATCGAATGTTAATGCACGGTCAAGTTGCACGTTGTTGAATAGGGAGACTGTCTGAGGTATTTATGAATTGGTTTTATTTTCTTTAGTGGAAATTTGACCCTGGTTTCCTCTGCCTCGAGTCACCAGTTGGATCGATACTGTGCATCAGACACCATCTTCTATCCAGCAATAACATGTACGTCTTCCATGATGACTTTTTTCCTACTTCAAGTCCAACCAGTGTCAGGATGCTTAAATAAGTCCTCCTGCTCGAAACTTCATGTAACATCCAATGTTAGGCATTCGCGTCAACCTGACGTTGGGACGGACATGAGAGTTCCTTTAAAACTCGCTCTAAAATATTCATATCACGGTGCAGCATACGCTGATCCTTATTCCTGAATTTTATTTCCATTTCCCGAGTGAAGCGCTTGACTTGCTACGGCTGCGTTAATTCATAAGAATTTTTAAGTTTGAAGTTTTAGGTATA